AGCGCGACTGGAAATTGATGTTTAAAGAAATTATAAAACCGGCGTTGCATTCAGTCTTCCAGTGCAAAGGGAGGACTCGTACAGTGAGCACGGTGCCTCGCCCACTCTCGACTCAAGGGGGAATACAGTGAATTGAATCGTATGTAAGTACAATTCAAACACCACCCAGTAAACGTATTATTAGAAAATCGTTTGATTTTGGGTGCTTTTTGAGTTAATGGTGAATTGTAAATCCTAAATATATATTCAGATATATTTTGATCATCCGTGAGCAGTGCTGATTATCCTAAGAGTACAATACAATATATAAATAGTGCCGTTTAAAAATCGCTTTGCAGTCCGAAGCGAGTTCGAGAGACAACCTCCCAACAACGGACTTGTTTTCATTCGCAGAACATTTAGGTTGATTAAAAGCCGAAACTTCAAAGAAACACAAGTGACACCATGCCTGCCTACGCTGAAACATTGACAGACGCCAAACCGTCGACGCACTTGCCAACGCATCCCGAATTGCTTACTCAACTCCCTGGCAAGACGAAGGTAAGATACAGTTGGTGTGGTAGTAACGATATATATATAATCGGTTGTGACAGTAAATTCCTATTTAATGACACTTTTTCTATACACTGGTTTCTTTATGTATGGACTGGTTATTTGATGAAAGTCACTATAGTGAATTATCAATCTTTGTTTGATAGTTTTCCATTTCTAAATATATTTACTTGTCTTCAAAATCCATTTTGTAAGTGTTTGCTTGAATCGAATCAGGTTTTCTGTTATTTAATAAAAAGCCGCACAATCATAATAGAAAACGTATTTTTATATTTTACGGGTAACTTATTCAAATATAGAATAGACTAATTTCGATAAATAATGATCATACAAAACAAATACAACCATAAAGCTTTCAAATGCGCAATCTTTTATCACAAAGAAACTAGACGCAATACCGTGACCCAGTTAATTCAGGCATACCAAGAATTTTAATATGAATTCAAAGCCTTCTCTTTCCCCCCCTCCCGTTCCCTCTCTGAAAGCCCCACCTGGGTGAAGCGGGCTGTGAGTCACGCCGGAATGCCAGTCACTCTCGCTCTGTTTCACTTGCCTTTTTTGTGTAGGGAAAAACACCAAAGCTGTTTTTCCTCTTTTTAGAAAATACTGTACCGTTTGGATGTTTCAGATATGAAAGTAGTCTTGGAAACTGTTAAGAAGCTAATGACATTTCTTGTTGAGCTGGGGAGGGAAAGGGAGGGAGGGACAGAAAGTACGCGGAAGGAGAGAGAGAAAAAAAACAAGAAAGAAAGTGAGTGAGAGGGAGGGTAGTAAGTGAGTGAGTGATTGAATGAAGAAGAGAGAGAGAGAGAGAGAGAGAGAGAGAGAGAGAGAGAGAGAGAGAGAGAGAGAGAGAGAGAGAGAGAGAGAGAAAGAAAGAGAGGTAGGGAGGGGGGGAGAGGAAACGAGAGTGGATAAGAAAGAAAGAGGGAAACGAGAGAGAGATAGGGCGGGAAGAAAGGAACGAGAGTGGATAAGGGAGAAAAAGGGAAAGAGAGAGAGAGAGATGGGGGTGGGGAAGGAGAGAGGTATAAGAAGGGAGAAAACAGAGAGAGCGAAATGCCATTTGCTATCAGTAGCCGGAAATTAAATGTTTTCAACATTCTCTTATCGGTGACTAAGCCAACAGAAAAAAATCATATTTCAACGAACAGCTATAAAAATTCTAATTTAATCTGAGGTTCCTTCCTCAACACTTTAGCATCCCATTCCCCCCATACCTACATACACAGCAATAATTCTTCTCTCCCTCTTTCCCCGTCGTACATTCCATCTCCGCACCATCTCCACCCTCTTCTCCCTCTTCACCCGCAGGTAGCCGACGGCGCACGATGCCAGGAGAGCGTTGTAGTGAGCGGGATGTCCGGCAAATTCCCAGAGAGCTCGAGCGTGGAGGAGTTCGCGCGCAACTTGTACAGCGGCGTCGACATGGTCACGGAGGATGACCGGCGCTGGACACCCGGTAAGGAGGCCTGCGTTTTCTTTGAGGAAGCGGACGCGTTTTCTATGAGGAATCAAACGGTTTTTCTTTTTGGGAAACGGGTGTGCTTTCTTTAATGGTTGGTGATGTGATTTAGTTCATTATATTTTTTATGAGGGTGGGGTGGGGAGAAGGTAAGGGTGTGTTTATATTAAAAAAAGGGAAACTTATAGAGGTACGTTTCATTCTTTTATTTCTTTATCATTATTTAATAATTTCTTTCCCGCAATCTCTGTTTAAATACCACTCATGTGGGCATGTTCATGTAATAAAACATGGCTAAGTGTGAGCGACAAAAGACATCCGGCAAGAAATTAAGTTTGACCTTTTGATTAGTTATAAGTATCCAGTTAATTATTTTAATTTTATTTATTACTAATATACTTTGATATACAAGAAATGATAGCTGTCTTGTCTGACTTGTTATAAGGATCATAACTAAAGGAATTACTTTTATAATTGAATATTTTTGAAATTATCAGTGACAATAATATATCAGTTAATATCATTACTTGATTTGTCATGATCACATTTTTGGTAAGGAAAGTTGCACTCGCGCGAATAAACTTCAGCGGGAAACGTGACTGATTTCTTGTCATAATCTTCAGCTCAGAGGTTGTCGCACGGTCGCCGGTGATCGTGAAAGTTTGGGGTTAACTTTTTTTCCCTTTTTTGTATGACCTTTTTATGGGATTTTTTTCTAGTTAGGTTTTCATTTCCTCGACCACTGTTTATATTTGTCGTTTCTTAATGTTTTACTTTACTTATTATTTATTTATCACATGTTTCCTCGCAAATCGTTATGATATTCAGAAAAGGCCGCGATATTTCTGAAGACTCCTGTATATCATATTTATTTATTTTTTATATCTTTTGAATATAAAGCAGATATCTAAAGTCTCCCGTGTGTGTGTATTTCTGGCATATTAGCTTCGTCATCATTAGATTTCTCTTTCAAAAAAAAACAACAAAAAACACACCATGACATTTTTTTAGATGCTTATATCCAAAGGCTTTTTTCGGAAGAGAATTACTTGATTTTTTCTTTCTCTTCGTCGCTTTTTATTGTATTCATATGGTGTTTTTCCTTATTTCGTCACCTAGCTCTTTAGTGTTGATTCGTTTCACATCATTTTGAATTCCTTTTGTTATACTCGTTTTTTGTTCTCAAAAAAAAAAATAATAAATATTTTTTTTTTTTTGTCGATTTTACTCTCATGTATCTTTTTATATGCTTTATTTTCCGTTTCTTTTTTTTGTCTTGCTCTCCTCTTCAGTTTATTAAATATTTATAACACTATAGCACTTGAATAACACCCAAACATACAAGACGTCCCTAAACAAGAATATCATGCTCTGTTTTTTCGCTCGTCTTCTTTTTAAAGTTTCATTTTCTCTTTTCTTAACCAGTTCCTAAAAAAAAAAAGAGGGGGAATTTAAAACATGTATAAAATAAAAATTTAAAAAATGCTTAAAAACATTTCTTCCCGTCAACGCAGGCATCCACGGCCTCCCTCGGCGCTCGGGGAAGATCCCTGACTTGGCCCACTTCGACAGCGCCTTCTTCAGCGTGTCTCCCCGACAGGCGCACAAAATGGACCCTCAGCTGCGTCTCCTGCTCGAACTCACGCATGAGGCGATCCTTGATGCCGGTGAGGAGGCTGTTTAATAAGGTTTTAATTAACTTATTAGTGGCTATTAGTTTATCATTGTCATGGTTGTATATCTTGAGATTGCATTCTTTTACATGCGTGGCAGGAAATCAAACATTTCTGGCAAGTATACCATACGTATTGATATACACATTAACAGAAAAAAATCATATTATCTTCACCGCTTAGGCATGAATCCGAGTGAACTACGCGGGCGTCGGGTGGGCGTGTACGTGGGCGTGAGCAGCAGCGAGAGCGAGGAGGCCTGGACAGCAGACCCGGCGCAGGTGACGGGGTACGCGCTCACGGGATGCTGTCGCGCGATGTTCCCCAACCGCATCTCGTACACTTTCGACTTTAAAGGTACTTTTCTTTAACTTTTAAAGGGGGTCGAGGTCTGTAGGGTAGGTTGAGGAGAAGCGATTGTGTGTTTTTCTTTTCCTTCGTGTTTGGGTTATATAGGTTGATAAGACTTGATGGTTGTGTTTCGTCGTGTAAATCAAGAAGCTTTGATAGGAGGTAAAGAATTGTTTATTTATTTATTCCTCTATCAATCTATTAATTGTGCGTTTATTTATCTATCTATCTCGCAATATTTCTAATTTTGATCTATGCAACTGTTTGTTCACCTCAAAAGGACCAAGCTACGCCATCGACACAGCGTGCTCGTCCTCGATGGTGGCGCTTCAGGTGGCGTGGACGGCCATCATGGAGGGCGAGATCGAAGCCGCCGTCGTCGGAGGAACCAACCTCACCCTCAAACCCCAGAACTCGATGCAGTTCAACTCGCTCAACATGCTTGCAGCCGACGGCAAGTGCAAGTCATTCGACTGCTCTGGCAATGGGTGAGTTTTTCTTTGATTTTTTTTCTTTGCTAGTTCTTTCTTTGTTTCTGAAAGAGAAAATGGTTTGGGTTGTCGTCGTATATTTTTTCCTCCGTTTTTATTCTCTGCTATGGCTACCTTTGAGGAATTATACGTACATGCGCACATACATGCTCGCAATGACGCGCGCCGATTCGGGACATTATGTATATTTTTTATGTTCGGTAAAAGTCTCCATAACCGGGCGAATTACTACCAAAAAATGTAGTGATACTTTAAAGAGAAAGTGACACCAGTAAAAAAAAAGTGTACTTCTTGCGACAGTGACGACTAGTTTTTTTGTTTATATATATATATATATATATATATATATATATATATATATATATATATATATATATATATAAACAAAAATCTGTAAACGTATACTTTTACATACCAGCATTTACATACACTACTTACACCAAAAGTCTCTCTCTCTCTCTCTCTCTCTCTCTCTCTCTCTCTCTCTCTCTCTCTCTCTCTCTCTCTCTCTCTCTCTCTCTCTCTCTCTCTCTCTCTCTCTCTCTCTCTCTCTCTCTCTCTCTCTCTCTCTCTCTCTCTCTCTCTCTCTCTCACATACATACACACATACACACACACACACACACACACACACACACACACACACACACACACACACACACACACACACACACACACACACACACACACACACACACACACACGCACGCGCACGCACGCACACACACATATCATTCATTAACGTTCACACTTCACTAACGAGAGACTTCCTACAGGTACGTGCGGAGCGAGGCAGCTGTGGTGATCTTCCTGCAGCGCGCAGCAGATTCTCGTCGAGTTTACGCCCATGTCACTCACGCCCGCGCTAACACCGACGGGCACAAGGGTGAGGGCGTGACCTTCCCTTCAGGTGCTGTTCAGAAGAACCTGCTGCAGGAGGTGTACAGTCTGGCTGGCGTGTCTCCTTCGGATGTGTCCTACGTGGAGGCGCACGGAACCGGCACCAAGGTGGGGCTGCCTTTGGTTTTGGGAGCTCTTTGGAGTGTTGTTGGAGGGGTATTTGGTACACATGTACAGAGAAACTATGTCTATTTAAATAAAACGCATTTACTTCTTCCTGTATATCATGAGGTACCGTCAAAATCAGTATATATGTGTGTGTTTTCTTTCTTTTTTGCTTTCTTTTTTCATAAATGTTGTATTTCCATTCAGGCTGGTGACCCGCAGGAAGTGAACGCTCTCTCCGACGTGTTCTGCAATGGCCGCTCCTCTCCTCTGCTCATGGGATCTGTCAAGTCTAACATGGGCCACGCAGAGCCCGCCTCCGGCCTCTGTTCTATTGTTAAGGTGAAGGTCACAATCGCCTTCCGTTTATATACGCTGATGACATTTTTTTTAGCATTTTGTGTTCTGATTTCATTGCCAATTTTTTTATACAAATGTAAATCGTCAACAGGTCCTCCTGGCCATGCAGCGGCGAGAAATCGCTGGCAACCTGCACTTTACCAGTCCAAATACTGAGATTCCGGCGTTGTCAGACGGGAGAATAAAGGTAACTACAAGTCTTAGCTGTTATTTTGTAACTTCGATGTTACTATTGTACATCTTTATATATATGTAAGTGTGTGTGTTTGTGTGTATGTATGTATGTATAATTACATATATAGTATATATAACATATATATGACAGAATGAATCACTTTTGTGATGCAATTCACCTTCCCATCGTAGGTGGTGAGCGAGAACACTCCCTGGCCAGGTGGTTATGCTGCCGTCAACAGTTTCGGGTTTGGAGGTGCTAATGTGCATGTGCTTCTGCGCTCCCCGAACACTCCAGTACAGTCATCTAGCGGACCGTCAAGGCCCGTCCTGATACCCACAACACAGAGAATATGCCCAACAACCAAAGAAATCATATCCTCGGACTGCCACTTTGCTACCAGCGGCGAAGACGAGAACAATGCCTCTGAGGACAAGGTACCCACTGGGATCCCGAGGCTTGTGGTGACAGCAGGACGCACGGAGGATGCTGTGAGGACCTTGCTGGAAGGAGTGAAGGAACGGGCCACTCCGGCTCTCTGTGGCCTGCTTGATAAGCTCTCTGACATGCCCACGAACAGTCTGCCAGCTCGGGGATATGCCATTGTGGATGCGGAGAGAGAAATACTTGGGGTAAGTATTATTACGGGTATGAATATCATTGGCTTGTCAATGTAATGGACGAATGTTTAATTATTTTCTATCCATTTATTATTGACTACTGTGTCTCCGCATGCAATATTCACTGAGTGTCCATCGACATAGGTTGTTTCATTACCATAAATAGCCAGCTTATTAGAGAGTAAAACCCGATTCCTCATCTAGGTATCTAGCGTCCCCGCTGCGTCACGGCCTTTGTGGCTTGTGTTCTCTGGCATGGGTTCTCAGTGGACGAGCTGCGGTCGAGCCTTCTTCCGCTTCCCCGTGTTCGCCTCCACCATCAGGAGGTGCCACGCTGCGCTCATGCCCTTGGGACTCAACCTGACTGAGATCCTCACAAGCGAAGACCCGAACGTCATGGCTACAACAGCTGCTAGCTTCTCCACGATTGCAGCAATGCAGGTTAGAATATTGGAACAAGGGGCTTTGCAAATTGTTATTTTGCATATGCTGTTTGCTTCATAGCATTTGAAAACTAAAAATATCATTTTTAAACATATTTCTTGTTGCTTCAGGTGGGTTTGGTAGACCTTCTCAAACATCTTGGCATAAATGAATACGCAGGCTTGGTAGGCCATAGCGTAGGAGAGCTCGGTTGCGCATACGCAGACGGGACTTTAACAGCCGAACAAACCGTTCTGGCAGCATACTGGCGAGGGAGAGCTGTGCAAGAGGCTGTACTACCTGTCGGGGCCATGGCTGCTGTTGGTAAGTTATCAGTTTGATGTTTACTTAAATTCTACAGTATCTTGAGGTACTTTGCCGTTCATTTTCCGTTCAGAATCGACAAAAGGGAAACTAATAACTTCATTCAATGATTTTGATATCGACTTAGGAAACTTTTTTCTTAACAGGCCTGAGCGCAGAAGAGGCAGAACGTTGGGTCGAAGATGGCGTCGTGGTCGCTTGCCACAATGCTCACGACTCCGTCACCATATCGGGGCCGAAGGAGGCCACCGAGAGGGTGATGGAGAAAATCACAGCTGAAGGAATCTTCTGTCGAGGCGTCAGGTCAGAGAACGTGGCCTTCCATCACCCTACTCTGAAAGCCGCTGCTCCACGGCTGCTGGAAGAACTTGCCAAGGTGAGGAGGAAGACACGAAAAGGAATAATGATCATGATAATAATAATACAAATAATAGTAATAATAATGATGATGTTGATAATCATAATAATCATAATCAATAATAGTAATAATATAATCATTAAAACAATAACAATTTTGATTATCATGATAGTGATAGAGGTAATAATGTTAATAATTATAATATGGTAATCATGATAATGCTGATAGTAATGATGGTGATGAAGATGATAGTAATAATGATAAAAATCATAATGCAATTAGTCATCATAATTAGTCCTCTATTAAAATAACATGACATGTTGAGAGCATGCATTATTAACCAACTTTTACATACTTTTAAACAAGCGATGTACCCTTTCTACCCATTTATTCTTTGTTATTAATTCGCAGGTGATTCCCCGGGCACTCCCACGAAGCTCTCGATGGGTGAGCACTTCCGTCCCCGAGTCCGAGAGTGCCAGTCCGGAGGCCAGCAAGGCATCCGCTCAGTACCTGGTTAACAATCTCCTCTCTCCAGGTAGGTTTTGGAGAGGTTAAGGGTAATGTACATTTTTATTTTTATTTATTTATTTATTTTTTTTTTTTTTTTTTTTTTTTTTTTTTTTATAAAGGAAATTTTTTTATTGGGAGATCTTTTTTCCCTTTACAAACTGACCTTTTCTACTAGATACAAGCACGTTTCTTTTCCGTCCTATTTTAGTTTTGTTTGCCGAAGCCCTTGAGAAGATTCCACAGGAGGCAGTGGTAGTGGAGGTGTCCCCCCACGGTTTGTTGCAAGCCATCCTGAGGCGATCTCTCCCGAAGGCAGTACCCATTCCACTCATCAGGAAGGACGCCAAGTGTACGATGCTCCATTTCCTTGAATCCCTTGGCAAGTAAGTAGATATGTTTCCCGAGAAAAAACTAAAAGTAAATTGTTTGCATTAATTGATATCCTTCCTCTCTGAAGTCTTAAGATAGAAGTACGGAATTGCAAGGCCTAGATGTATAAGAAATCTTCACACTTCTTTCTTCTTCAGGATATACGCAAATGGCGTGTTTGTTGACGTGGGATCCATTTATCCCCCTCTCCCCTCGCCTGTTCCGGTCTCCACACCTTCCATCGCCAGTCTTGTCAGGTAAAAAACAAACCTTGGTGTCGTTGTGAAGTTATAGAAGAACTAATGGAAGGTAGCAAATGGATGGTTTGCGTTGTTTTTGTATAACCATTTCTGAAATTGTAAAGATTTTCTTCGTTTTATGTGCTTAAATGATTATAAAAGCACAGGTGTTCAAATGCCCATATTTTAGGAAAATCAAACACTAAACGAACATTGATTGATACAGATGGGACCACAGCCAAGAGTGGGACGTGGCACGCTTCAGCTCCTCCCCGGCAGGCTCTGACTACGAGGTGAAGGTGGACCTTGACTCCGAGGAGCACCGGTACCTTGAGGGTCATACCATCGACGGCCGAGTCATATTCCCTGCTACAGGCTATATGGTTAGTATAAAATTTCTCTAAATCAGTGATGTTAAAACTGATCTATTCTTTACTGCATATGAATATAATTTATTCGGAGACTTCATACGATTGATTTATCTTTCAGGTATTGGCATGGCAAGCATTGTGTCGCTTGCAGGGGTCGAACTGGCAAGAAACACCTGTGACTTTCAGTGATGTGATTCTCCACCAAGCCACCGTCCTGTCCTCTTCCTCAGGCAGTTCCTCCAGCACTACCACCCTGGTTGTAAGGATTCTTCCCACCAAGGGGGAGTTTGAGGTACGCTTATTGAATGTTTTAATTTGCTGTGTTATTGTACTCCAACCGATGTCCGTGATCACATTAATTTGTTATATTGTACTTCAGCCAGACCTCATCAGACTAAATATATTTACCTCAATTCAGGTTGTTGTAAGTGGATCGGTAGCTGCTTCAGGTCGCATCCACATGGGAGTAGAAGACTCTGCTGAGGGTAAGACTCTGCTGCATTTCTTAAAGGAGAGCAAAGCAAGCGACCATGAGAAGCGCCTTCAGCAACAGGATGTGTACAAAGAGTTGCGCCTCAGAGGATACCAATATGGCGGGATCTTCCAGGGCATTTTACATGCAGACATTAAGGGTGAGTTTTATACGTTTTTATTTGCAATTTACAGTTAGCAACGCATCTACATTTCATGCTTAGAGATATATTTCATTCGAAGAGATGAATGATAATTCAAGTAATGTTATTTAAACTTCAATTTTATAATGACTAATGCTAAATATATATATAGATGTATATATATTCACATAATTGATCAATTTATTTATTTATTCAGTATTATTAAATGAAATTGGATATACGCGCGTAGATTAATTTTCCAAGATGTACTGGAGTAATATGCACTATCCGTATGTACGAATATTTGTATTTAGTTATCAATACTATAAACTATTTAATCTTAAAATATATTTTTTGTCAGGTACATCTGGATCCCTGCAGTGGCGTGATAACTGGGTGTCCTTCATTGACACTATGCTTCAGTTCTCACTCGTTGGAGCCAAACAGCGTGGGCTCATGCTTCCTACGAGAATTCGCAAGGTTACTGTTGACCCAGCTGTCCTTCACAGCAATGTCACTGTGGAGGAGGATGTCACGAAAGTTCCTGTAAGTATTTTGTATTTTATTCTTTATATTCTTCTATGGCATTCCTATAATTGTTTCACTGGTGAGTATTATATTCGCATTTCATTGTATTGAAATGTTACTGAAAAAAATAATATTGCTGCTTCTATTTCAGATCCACCATAACCCACACGTAGGAGCCACAGTGTGTCAGGGTGTTATCATCCAGGGCCTGAAAGCCACCTTGGCACCACGGAGGCCCACTCAGGACCGCCCTGTCCTGCAGAGCTACCAGTTCGTGCCCCTCCAATTGCCTGTTGACCATCCAGTCTCTGCCAAAGTAACAGAAGAGGCCAGCTTGGGATTGCTTGTTGACCTAGTAATCGAGAACTTGGGAACAAGAACACTGAAAGTTGTTGAGAATGGAAGCACCTCGCCAACCATTGGGTTAGGTGTCATGTCTGCTGTGGACACCCACGCTCAGCTAAAGGTATGTTACTTGGGAGAAGACGACAATAAGCAGTTATTTCTTGTAATTATTACTTTATAAATATGCATTGGTATCTATGTTCATATTTACACATTTAAGTAAATTGATCTTACTATATTGCACTCACAGATAGTAATGATTTTGTTTCTTATCAAAGGTTGAGTACACCTTGACCAACCCCAGCCTGGAGAAAGAGGAACTTGACCGCCTGGTGTCTGCAGGAGCAACAGTGAAGGAAGACTTAGTCAGTGTCATGTCAAAGCCTCCCCACCTCTTCATCCTCCACCAAGATGTAGAAGCAAAGATTCTTGACACGCTGAAAGAAGGAACATTCCTTATGACAAATGCAGATGTTGCTCAGATGCTGAAAGAACAAGGTTATTTGAGCATTGCAACCATCGCAAGAACTGGAGTTGTGCTTCTGAGGAAGGTATGGAATTGTATTATTGTTGTTGTTAATTTGCACAGAATTTTTTTGGCGGTTTTCATACCATTTATGTATTTTGGAACTTAAAATTGCCATTCATATTTCAGCCACTTTCCCCGGTGCCACACAGCACACTGACAATCTCTGTCAACGACAAGGAATTCTCATGGGTAATGGCTCTGAAGGAGAAGCTAGCCGTCAGCATTAAAGAGAATCTGTGGCTCCTGTCATCACACGAGCCAACATCTGGAATTCTTGGTCTCGTAAATTGTCTGAGACGTGAACCAGAAGGGGAAAGAATCAGGTACAATAAAAAAACATGTAGTTATATATGTTTTCAGCAAGCATAATTTGTTTTGAATACAATTGATTTATGACCAATTTGCCCTGCTGCATTTATTCTTTTTCTCTATTTTGCAGGTGTATTTTTGCTCCTGATGGCAAAGCTGAAGTCGATACAGACGTCCTCGCCCGCGATCTAGCTCTGAATGTCCTTGAAGGCCAAGCATGGGGAACGTACCGACACATTCCGCTGATGAAGCTCGAGCACCAACCCTCTGAACACGCTCTTCTTAATGTCGCTACTCGAGGTGACTTGGCTTCCCTCACGTGGTTCCAGATGGCGTCACCAGAGCTCAGTCCTAATGAGAACATGCTCGTGTGCGATGTGCTCTATGCACCTCTCAACTTCAGGGATGTCATGTTGGCGACCGGAAAGCTGCCTCCAGATGCGCTTCCAGGAGATCTGGCAATGAAGGTATAAGATTGTGTTTTAAAATGTTAACATGATTTAGACATGTCTCTTACGAATTTTGTTTTGATCTATATACCTTAAAAGTATTGTATGTAACATTTACTTTCCTTTCAGGAGTGTATTCTTGGCTTGGAGTTTGCTGGCATGGAAAGAGAACGACGAGTCATGGGTCTAGTAGCTGCTGGTGGTCTGGCTACAACTGTGAAAGCTGATCCTCTCTTGACCTGGACTGTTCCCCAAAGCTGGTCCCTTCAGGAGGCTGCTACTGTGCCTGTTGTGTATGCTACGGTAAGGACCTTCATGACTCTGCAATGTCTTGATTACATACTGTTTTACACATTTGCAAAGGCTGTGGCTCGGGGTTTAATAGGAATACTGACATGTAAAGCTATGAGATACGTTTGCTCATTACCAATAACAAGATACTTTACATTCCAGGCTTACTATGCTCTTGTGGTACGTGGAGGACTTCGGGAAGGTGAGACTGTGCTCATTCACGCAGGTTCTGGTGGAGTGGGTCAGGCTGCCATCAGCATTGCCCTGGCACGCTCTTGCACTGTTTACACTACTGTCAGTAGTGCCCAGAAAAGGGCTGTCCTGCAGAAAAGATTCCCACAGGTAAATAAGATTAATTATGAAAGGTAAGAGTGCTATATTGCAGAAATGAAACAGTGAGAGGATTGGCATTTATTTTAAATGAGTGGTAGAGAAAGCAAACGTTTACTTAATTGGTTAATATCTTCACAGCTGAAGGATGAGAACTTTGCAAACTCCCGTGATGGAAGCTTTGAATTTGATGTCCTAGAGAGAACTAACGGACAAGGAGTGGATGTTGTCCTCAACTCCCTGGCTGGTGACTTGCTACAGGCCTCCGTGAGATGCCTCAAAGAACATGGCAGATTCCTCGAGATTGGAAAGGCTGATCTGTCAAACAACACTGCTCTGGGCAAGTTCCCTTTTATATACTTTTTTTGAATGACATAGCTAATATTGCATCGGTATATTCTCTTAGAAGAACGTTGGATTAAACTCAGATAATTTTTGAAAACGTGTAATTTAGACATAGATGAAAATAGGAAAGTTCAGGAAGTAAAGTTGCAGTATCTGAAAACTAATTTTTACTTATCATTGGTTCCTTCAGGCATGGCCATCTTCTTGAAGAATGTCACCTTCCACGGCATCCTGCTGGACTCGCTCTTTGATGGCTCCACCGAAGAGCGAGCTCGCCTGAACAAACTGGTGATCGATGGCCTTGAGTCGGGCGTCGTGACACCCCTTCCTCACACTCTCTTTACTAGGGACAGTGCCGAAGATGCTTTCAGGTAGGCAGCTCCTGAGCAACAAAATATATTTGAACAACTGAAAGAAATATAAATCAGGGGTGAAGGTATGAGAAGTTACTCCTTTGCGAATCTTACACACCCATCCTTGCAGGTACATGGCCACAGGAAAGCACATCGGAAAGGTAGTCCTCGAGATAAAACCTGAAGAACCCAAAGCAGACTACTCTCTGGTGCCTGCAGTACCTCGCATGACAGCACACAGCAACATGGTCTATGTGATCACGGGCGGAATGGGCGGACTTGGGTTGGAGCTGGCCGGCTGGCTCATTACTCGTGGGGCAAAGAAACTGGTCCTCACCTCACGAAGGGGGATCACTACTGGCTACCAGGTGAAGCCTGTTATTTATGTCTATTTATTTTTATTAGAATGTGCTGTATATTTGTTTATGTTTGTATGTTTATTCTTTTGGGTAACCGAGTTTATTTTAATACTTCTTTAGGGTGTTTTTTTCTGAAAGCTTATATACTTTTAGATTTACGTATGAGGATTGTCAGTCTAAAATTCAGGCAGGAAGAGCAGCACAAACACATAACCGACGTGAAAAGGAAAAAAAACGACATGAATGACCTGCCTTGCGTTTGTGCTAATTTGTTTGCCTCTTCTTTTGCAGTCCTTGTGTGTCCATCGCTGGCGCAATGCGGGCGTGAATGTCCGTGTGCTGACCCAGGATGCGTCTACTCCTGAGGGCGCTGCTAAACTACTGAAGGAAGCTGCTACAGAAGGACCGGTCGGGGGTATCTTCCACCTGGCAATGGTAAGGAGTGTAGAGTTATAGGGTTTATTCATGTTAATAAAAAAAAATGTTTCTGGTGGATTATGTGCACAAGTGATAAAAAAGGGAGGTGCGATTGGCATATCAATCTAATCTTTGGGTGAAATCGCTGGAGTAGAAGTTTATCAGCACATGTTAACGCTAAAGAATGTTGTATCGTATAGAAATTTGACATTTTTCACAAATAATACAAAAGTGAGGAAATGGAGACAAAACGAAAAACTGAACCTAAAAAGATGATAATATTACTGCTGAGGAGGATAATGATAATAATAGTGATAGTGATGATAAGTATGATGATAACAGTAAACAAGACCTATGTGTAATCATGGCAGTATAATAGGATACCACCCCTTCCATTATTAGTTCCTTTTTTTAGATCTGAAGGACGCCCTACTAGATAACCAGGACTCGACGACCTTCCGCACTGTGAACCACGTGAAGGGCGACGGGGCCGTGGCTATCGACGAAGCCTCCCGGAAGCTGTGCCCCGACTTGCACCTGTGGGTCGCCTTCTCCAGCGTCGCCTGCGGGAAGGGCAATGCGGGTAGGTGGCTAACTCTTGCCTTGTTCATTCTTTTGTTTTGGTGTGTTTTTTATATTATTGTATTTCTTTATTAAGGTTTTGTTGCTAAAGGTTGATTATGTTTGTTTCCGGATTATCGTAATTTTGGTAATAGGAAATGCCTTGTACCTTGATTAAAGAATGGTATTTATAATGTCAGGAATAATTATTGATGTTACTATTTTTATTATTATTATTATCATTAGCATTAGCATTAATGATATAATTATTGCTATCACTATCATTATTGTTATTCCTGTAAGCAGTAATACCACCATTATTATTAAGTGGTTAATCCATTACAAGATTACTGTTATAATCATCCATAACCCCCACTTCCCCGCCCACAGGCCAGACCAACTACGGGTGGGCCAATTCCGTGTGCGAGCGCGTGGTGGAGTCCCGCGTGAGGGCTGGGCTCCCGGGCGTGGCCATCCAGTGGGGCGGAGTGGGCGATGTGGGCGTCCTGGCTGATACCCTAGGCGACGTGGAGGTAAGGACGGCGTCTTTTTGGAGTTACGATTGCTACGGAGTAATTGCGATGGATAGTTGTTGGGATGATGATTAATAGTGATGAATGCATGCTGTAATAGATAAGTGCTTTGGGTAATTGTCTTTGGTTTAACGGAAAAGTAGTATAATTTCAGCACAGGCATCGTAAATACAGCAACAAACAATAACATCCCCATCTTTAAAAATGAGAGAGAGAGAGACAGAGACAGAAAGAGAGTGAAAGAGAGATAGATCGAAAAACAGAGAGACATAGAGAGAGAGAGAGAAACTAACCTACTTCCTTTTACCATTAGGTCGCCGGAACGAAGCCCCAGTCTGTGAGGTCTGTGCTGGAGTGCCTCGATGTTCTGCTGCTCGGGTCATCGTCTGTGGTCGCTTCTGTGTGTCTGGCCACTAAGAAATCGGGGGCGGACGGCGGTCAGAAGGGCGCCTCGCTCGTTAAGTCTGTGGCCAACATCCTAGGTACTTTGGTTTATTGATTTTTTGTTATTCGGGTAATGGCTCTGGGTTATGTAGAAAGGCAAGGGATTATTTTACATATATACGGCATAAGTTTAACAATATTAATAGGGCATTCAAAACGACTAGCAACTCCTCTAACCTTCTGGCTGCTCTTCCTTAACCCTCACAGGAGTGAAGGACGTCTCAAAGGCTCCTATGGACGTGACCCTCGCTGACCTGGGCCTCGATTCCCTCATGAGCGTGGAGGTCAAGCAGACTCTCGAGCGGGAGGCAGACATCGTCCTCTCCGCTGCGCAGGTCCGAGAGCTGACTCTGCGCATCCTGCAGGATATGGATGCCCAGGGCGGAGCCAAGACTCAGAACGCCTCCGAAGGTGAGGGGCTTTTCGGTTTGGAGGCGGGAGGAGATAAATGAGATCTGGGGTTGTTAAGTCAATCAAACGAACTGCTTGAGATTTTAAAATCAGATGGCATTATGTAATTTAAATTCTTTTTACTCGGAGCAGGGTCGCAGAACACGAGTGATTCGTCGAAGACCCCTTCGTCAGAGCAGCCTCAGGTGGCCCCACAGCCGTGGCTTTCTCTCCCGCTCATTCCCGACGCACGTGTGACTGTCCTTAAGGAGACGGGCACTCAGCCGCCGCTCTTCCTGGCGGCGCCCATCCAGGGCAGCGCCCTCCCGCTCGTCGAGGTGGCCCAGGATCTGGACCGCCCCGTCTACGGTCTCCAGTACCCGTCCGATCTGCCCCACACTTCCATCTCCGAGATGGCTGCAGCGCTGGTTAAGGTAGGTTGGGAATGATCTGGTTTTCCCTTTCATAGGATAATTTCTGAAGCTCTTAAGTAAATTATACACTATTGAGTTCATACATCTTGGTAATAAAACATCGCACTCGCCACAGGAGCTGCAGGAGAGACATCCCTCCGGCGACTTCGCCATAGGGGGCTACTCCTTCGGCACGGGCGTGGCTCTAGAGATGGTGCGGCAGCTGGAGGCCGCAGGGCGAGCGCCGACGTCGATCGTCCTCCTCGACGGCTCGCAGTCCTACGTCTCGGGCATCATCGACACCTACAAGTCGCGCATCGTCTCGGGCTCGGCCAAGGAGGAGTTCAGTCCGCAGGAGCAGGTGGAGATGCTCCTCGTGTTTGCCATGCAGTTCATCTCAGCCGAGTCGTCTATTCTGAAGAAGGCGCTGCTAGGGCTCAGGTCGTGGGAGGAGCGGGTCAACCATGTAGCCGAGCTAGTCACCGACAGCCGCGCCCGCCTGGGCAACAGCACTGACCCCGATGACCACAACAAGGTAATGAGGACTGCCATCCATACCAATGGCAAATATGACCTTCGAATAAAGAAACATGATCAAGTAGCAGTATTTAAGAATTAACAGACATTCTTCCGCGAATCCCCACAGGCTGTGCAAGCTGCTGAGTTGCTGTACAAGCGGCTGGTGGCGGGCGAGAGGCACTCGGCGGCGGGAGGACTCCGGCCGCCCGCGCTCCTCATCCGGGCGAAGGACAACCCCAACGCCGCGCAGCTCGGACATGACTACGGGCTCTCGAAGGTTCGTCTTTGGTTTTTTTTTTCTCTCATTTTGAATGCTTATAATTCTGAATTTTATGGGGGTATTTATTGGTTTGCTTATATTACTTCCCTTCATGACTTCATGCTTTGCTTAATTTGGGAAGTTAATCTTGGTTTAAAAATATAGAATTACGATATCACAAATGTAGAATGATAATTAAATCTTTTAATGGACTTTATTGCTTAGGTGTTTCCAGATCCAAAACTATATTGTATTATTCCGTTAAAAAATCTAATTTCGTCCACAGGTGATGACAGGGCCACTGAAGATCGAAGAGGTGTCTGGCACTCACGAGAGCTTCCTCACAGGCACCAACGGACGCCAGGTCTCCACTCTCATTCACTCGTTCCTCCAGGGGAGCCAGCGCACCAAGCAGTAGCCTAAGAAGTAATTTTAATAAAAAAATTTGGACGGAGCTAACCAGTGGCTATGAAGAATAGTCGTTATTTTTCACGGGATTCACTGTTTTCTGTCGCGTGTGCTGGCGAATACGGAGAACCTAGTGGAACCCCATGATGAATTAGTGTTTTTATTTTGCAGTTGCACAATATTGCACACAAAAATCTGTGATATTATTTTTAGTATCACTTTTCGTCGTCGGTAGAATGTCCGGCAAAGTTTTTTCTTTTCTTTTTTTTATTGTGAAGTACATGAGACAACATGGCACGTATTTTGTTACACTATTTTTGTAAAATATTTATTCTCTTAAATGTAGTTTCATATGGAAAGTCAGCACGTTGTGTTCATGAACTCTGTAATTTACATGCGTGCACATATAGACTAGTGCATAAGACTATGCATATGTAAGTCCAATTTCAATCATTTGCTCTTGGCTAGTTTTCAATTAATGTAATTTACCTCAGCACTCGTTCTCTATAACATTGACGCATAAATGTTTGTATCATCGAGTGTTCCAGCTTTTTGCAAATGCAAAGTGCTTTTTTATACTTAAAAGTCTATAAATGATCCAGTCTCTGGCTTATTCTTATAGTTGAACTTTATACTTTTGCACTGAAGGACTACTTTCCATTTATGAATGTGGGTTAGTAGATTATACTAGAGAATATTTTTATTTCTATGAATGTATATTTAATGTACGTTAAGTTAGTTATAGAATCTACCCATGACAAGACAAAGCATATCATGCTTATTTGACATATGAACTAAATCAGTTATTAATGTATTTTGATATTTCGTATGTTACACAATTTGCTGTCATAATACTCGTCTAGTTTAATTATAGTATGCCATTAGTTGACAGGGATATCAGATTTAAGGCCACTTTGTGTAATCGTTTTTTTATAAACTAAGATATTCTTATTGCTTTTAAGGGTTATCAAATAGCTTTGCTTTAAAACCATAAATTGTGTACATATTTTGATAAAAAATAGTTTAGTTAAAAATAGTTCGTCCATTTTTTTATAGTCCTCATTTTCCCATCCCTTTCCCCTCTCACTCCTATCCTTCTGCTCTCCCCTCTCCTCCTCTTCCTCCCCCCCCTCCCCTTCCCCTTCCCCTTCCTTCCCTTCCCCTTCCCTTCCCTTCCCCTCTTCTCTTCTCCTCTTCCTCTCTCCAGTTCATCATTATTATTGATATTATTTTTTTAAAGGTATGTCATGTTTTCCTCTCGTAGTGATTAGGCGATCCGGCGCGAATGCAATAGTTCACGTAACTAAAAGCGCCGTATCTAGAAGTGTATATTGCGTAGTGTAGTACAGCTTGCTTATTCACCATTCGAGGCTCATAGTTACTGTAGTCTTTATGTAATTTCCAGTCAGTATAATTTGAATTATTTTCTTTTACCAGCTGATTTGCGATGCCACCAATGCAAATGTTTGTGTAATTTTAAAGAGATTGCTAAAAAGACATTGAATCGTAGTGAAATTCTTGTAAACGTAGACCAAAAAAAAGAACAGTACAAGCGTTTTAACATGTTTGGTTATGTTGCTTTCCTCTTATGCCAAATGGAGTGTATATTCTTTACACGTTGATTATATATGTAGTGATCTTTCGACATTTAGCTGTCTTAGTATAAGCTTGTTTTGCTTTAGATCACAACGTTGGGAAATCAAAATGGACAGCTATACTTCATAAGTTATATAGTTGTGATATATATGGAAAATAGATATATTTATATATATGTATGAAGCTATGTAGTTGTGATTCGTCTTGTTCGAAATTCATATTGTAAAGATACCTTTTTTACAATATTAATATCCAAGACCGTGTTAAACATTTGTTTTGTATAGCAATGTTCACAATAAATAAAAAACTGGGTAGATTATGTTTTATTCAACCACTTGGTAATATGCTGTATTTACTTTACTTACGGTCTACAGACGCTTGAGCCTGGATCCCGCTATTCAGACTCCGGCCAGGTCCCTTGGCCACTTCCGGGAACCAAGCTTCCGGTACTGGTTACACTGCAATTAATCCTCCTTGGGCTTGGTGTGTCTAGGATGGCTTCAAAATTATTTTGAGAATGTTAATGCATTTCTAAGGCGACCATGGCCTCTAAAAAAAAGGAGGATCTATGTAAGGAAGGCACAATCTCGTCCGTTTCCCCAGACAGCACCTACACTTGACGATAAGGATGATAATCCCTGACCTCAGTCTGGGGCCTGCGTTAGATGAGGCTAATGGATCCCCGTCTTTACCAATAATCTTATATAAAACTAGAAGCA